AGATATTTTACAGGTGGCACTACCCCCAACGAGAATAGCAAGAATGTTTAAGAATAAATCCAAAAAATGTTGGAAATGTCATCAGATACCAGGTTCATATTACCATATGTGGTGGACATGTGCAGAAGCTAAAAGATATTGGACTAAAATCCACACATGGTTGGAAAAAATGACAAAGAAACACATAGACTTTAAACCAGAGATATTTTTATTGGGGATTTTAATGGAAATATATAGTAGGGAATTGAAATATTTGATTGTAAATGTATTAACAGCGGCTAGAATTGTATTTGCTAAAAATTGGAAAAATGAGAAAATACCAATGCAGGAGGAAGTTATTAAGAAAATAATGGAATGTGCTAAAATGAGTAAATTGACATTTGAAATTAGAGAACAAGAAGATAAACAATTTTATAAGATATGGGATTTATTGTATCAATGGTTAGACAAAAAATATGGAAATGAAATATGGTAGAGAATTTTACAAGGATAATAGAATTATACAGAATATAATATAAAGATGTGTTACTGTTGGATGGATTTAGGATGATATAATGAATTGTTATAATATAAACTAATTTAAAATGTTGATTATCTCGTATAAAATGAAGGAATAATAGTTTTAGTCAAATAAATGATTAATAATGATAATAATGTATACATATATATTAGATTGATAATATGAGAATTTATACAAACAACTGTGAGGACTATGGAGAGGATGCACAAATAATTTGTAACCAACTGACACACTGTATGTATGTAACTGGAAGATAATTTTATGTTTTATGTTTTGCTTGTGTATGTTTGTCTAAAAATAAAAAAAAAATTAATTTTTTTTTATAAACCTTACCTCCTAAATTTACATTCATATTATATTCTAATCAACATTCTATATCATATTGTATCATTATTATACTATCATTAAAGTTTTAATTTCAATTCCAGGCTATTTTTAAAAGCAAATCTCAACTCTTACTAAATTATATTCATAACTTATTCAAAACTAACCAATTATAATATATCATTACTATTACAATACACTTCAATTTCTTACTCTTCTATCTAACCATTCATCAAATAAATCCCAAATGTTATAATATTCCTTTTCTTCTTTCTCTAATTGCTAATGTTAATCTATTCATTTCTGCATGTTCCATTATTTTCTTAATCATTTCCTCCTCCTAAACTCTCTTTTTCAATGATTACACACTACTAGATGACCTTATGTTACCTTTTAAGGAAGTTTCAATAACAAATCAATTAGCACTTTGTTATTTTTTTTACAGGTAGTTTCAATTACATATCTGAATAGACTCAAAGTATCCATCATTCTTGGCACCGAAGATCGCTATTAATGTTTAATAACTGAGATAAGATGCAGCCAAAAGTCAAGTACTATTTAAATTTCCTTTAATTTCAGGGAGAAATAGCAATGATTAACTTTGTTAAAGCCAGGCACCCCTCCAAAAAATCAAACAAATACATTGTTTAGAGGCTAAATATTGAAAAACCATAAAACCTGTTCTTAAGAGTGGTGCAATGGTCAAGAGAATCTACTAATAGCTTTTGGAGATTTTAGCAATGGATTTCCTAATCCTGCAAGAAGGATATGATTTTAATAAAGGAGAATATTTGTAGCTCAGGGTTGACAGGAGAGGGTCCTTGGTGCTCTCTGAGCTTGGGGGTTTTCGTGCAGACGTTTCATGACCCAACTAGGCAACATCATCAGCTCTAGTGGAATTAAGGACATGATTCCCTAGCCCACATATTCAAAAGTAGCTCGATACTCGTGCTTCACTACGAAACTATGTGGTCGGGCTTAGTTTTGGGGGAGGAAAATAAAGGGGGGAAATCTGACTACCAGCATCCATTGGTATTCATCTGGCTAGCGTCCTGTCAGTGCGTGAGAGAGTTGAGGGCTGTTTGGAAACGAAAACAGTATTTGCTGTGTGAGCAAGAAGGAGAGAGCAAGGAGCCTGGGCGTGGCTTAGCTCAACCGTTCTGTATACTAAAGCTGCTTGGTGCTGTGAAACTGAAACGGAAATGGAAACTCCTCTCCTCTGCTTGTGTTTTGCATTTGGAACAGATTTCTTTTCAGGTGGGGAGGAGGAGTAGAACTCCTTAGCATCAGAGCATGTTAATAATAATAATATATGAAATGCTAAAGCTCTGGTGGTCATTTTGAAAAATCCTTTCTTGGTGAGCACCTAGAAGGCAAGAGGAACATACATGCCAAATTTCAAGTTTGTAGGCTTTACAGTTCTGGAGATTTTGTGATGATGCATGAATTATATTTTGCTTTTATAGATAGATATTGTGGAGAGGGACAAAATGAGGATGTTTTGGTCTGTTTCCCAGCCATTCAAGGGCGCTGGTTGCAATCCTATGCAGACAGGCCTAGCAGCAAGGAAGAGCAACATTGAACTATTTATTTATTTAGCATATGACATAGAGTATACTGGTCACAGTATAGGTAGTCCTCCACTTACAAGAGTTCATTCAGTGACCGTTCGAAGCAATGGAAAAAGAGACGTGACCGTGTTCCACACTTACGACTGCTGCAGCGTCCCCACGTGATCAAAATTCACATGCTTGGCAACTGACTCACAGTTATGATGGTCGCAGCATCCGGGAGTCGCGTGATTCCTCTTTTGCGACCTTCTGACAAGCAAAGTCAGTGGGGAAGCCAGATTCACTTAACAACCACGTGACTCACTTACCAATGGCCGTGATTCACTTAACAACTGTGGCAAGAGAAGTCATAAAATGGGGTGAAACTCACTTAACAACCATCTCACTTAGCAACAGAAATGTTGCGCTCAATTGTAGTGGTAAGTTCGGGGCTACCTATAATTACTATGATGCACCTATAAGTTTGGCTGATCAGAATAGAATTAGTATTCTACACAGGTAGTCCTCGATTTACAACAGTTCATTTAGTGACCACGCTGGGGGAAAAAAGTGATTTATGGACATTTTTCACACTTACGACCGTTCCACCTTCCCCATGGTCACAGGATTGAAATTCAGACGCTTGGCAAGCAGTTCCTATTTGCAATGGTGGCCATGCGATCTGCTTTTGCGACCTTCTGACGAGCAAAGTCCACAGGGAGAGCCAGATTCACTGAATGATCGCGCTACTCACTTAACAACCGCAGCGATTCACTTAACAACCCCCCATCCCCATGGTCCAGAAAAGTCATAAAACAGGAACAAGCTCGCTTAAAGAACCTTGGTGGTGCAGTGGTTAGAGTGCAGTACTGCAGGCTACTTCTGCTGACTATTGGCTGCCTGCAATTTGGCAGTTCAAATCCCACCAGGCTCAAGGTTGACTCAGCCTTCCATCCTTCCGAGGTGGGTAAAAAATGAGGACCCAGATTGCTGGGGGCCATAGGCTGACTCTGTAAACCACTTAGAGAGGGCTGTGAAGCAGTATATAAGTCTTAAGTACTATTGCCATGCCTTCCTTCCTTCCTTCCTTCCTTCTTTCTTATTTTTTTTTTCACTCTCCTTCCTGGTGGCAGTGGTTAGAATGCAGGCAAACTCTCCCTCCCTTCCTCCTTCCTCCCTCCCTTATCCCTTTCTTATTCTCCTTCCTCATGCCACAGTGGTCAGAATGCAGTACTACAGGCAAACTCTGCCCACTGCCAGGAGTTCAATCCTGACCAGCTCCAGGTTGACTCAGCCTTCCATCCTTCCGAGGTAAGTAAAACAAGGATCCAGATTGTTGGAGGAAATAGGCTGACTCTGTAAACCGCTTAGAGAAGGCTGTAAAGCACTGTATATAAGTCTTAAGTGCAATTGCTATTAAGCCATGTTTCGCTCACAGCCGCATACATTTTGGGCCCAACTTTGGTCCTAACCAGAGGAACCACTTGGTATATTCATCTCTCTGAGGCAAGGGATTTTCAAACCTGGCCAGTTTAAGGCTTGTGGACTTCAACTCCCAGAATTCCTGAGCACAGTTGAGAAAGTCCAGAAATATTTCACAAGAAGAGTTCTCCACTCCTCTACTTGTTGTAGAATACCTTATGCCACCAGACTTGAAATTCTAGACCTAGAAAACCTTGAATTACACCATCTTCGGTCTGATCTAAGTATGGTATATAAAATCATACATTGCAATGTCCTACCTGTCAATCAATACTTCAGCTTCAACCATAACAACACAAGAGCACACAATAGATACAAACTCAAGGTTAACCGCACCAAACTTGATTGCAGGAAATACGACTTCAGCAACAGAGTGCTCAATGTCTGGAATACTCTACCTGACTCTGTGGTTTCTTCCCCAAACCCCAAAAATTTTAACCTTAGACTGTCTACTATTGACCTCACCTCTTTCCTAAGAGGTCTGTAGGGGGCATGCATAAACGCACCAACGTGCCTACGTCCCTGTCCTATTGTTCCTTTTATTTTTTATTTTTCTTATATGAACCCATTTCATGTATTCATAACTATGTATATACTTATACCTATTATCTTGTAAGCGATTGACAAATCAAAATAAATAAATAAAAATAAAAAACTTTGACTGGAGGATGAATTCTGGGAGTTGAAGTCCACAAAGTCTTCAAGCTGTCAAGTTTGAAAGACAGACAGACAGACAGACAGACAGACAGACACACACACACACACACACCACTCTAAGGGGCCATGTATCCAATTATGAAGCGCAGTGTTTGTTAGTTGGAGGAGAGGGGAGGGAAAAAAATGCTTTTCTTCCTCGTGCAAGTTAGTCACGATAGGAGCCGGTTTTTCCAACTTTTTGAGCTAAAGGAAGCCGAGCAAGGGAGAGATTTCTCTGAACCCCTCGTTTTGCAGAGCCCCGTGGGTTTCCCCCCACCCACCCACGCAACAAGGCGCGCGCGCACACACACACACACACACACACACACACACACACAAACTTTGGAAGGGCTCAGCTCTGCCCCACGGGGCTGCTCCGGATGCTTGCACCCTAGGTAAACTTTGCAAAGCCCCAGCCCGGCGCTCACCTGCGCTGCCGTCTCGTCCCGGCCGCTCAGCCGCCTCCGCCCGCTCCGAAAGCCAAGGTCCCACGTCCCGGGAAGGGTCGAAGCGAACGCTCAGTTCGCAGAACATTATCGCCCGGAAAGCGGCAGCCGCCGGGGAAGGAGCTTGGCTCTCGCCTTCCGTCGCTCTTTAGGACCCGGGGCGGCGGCGGCGGCGGCGGCGGCGGCAGCACTTCCATCCGCGCGCCAGCGCTACTTTCACTTCTGCCTGCAGCTACTGCTGCATGCCCGGGCTCCGGTAGCCTTCGGGAGGCGGGGAAGCGGTTTCCTATTGGGCGCGCCGCGCGTCCTGCACAGTTGGAGCCTTGGAGGGGCGGGACCGAGCCTGGGGCTGGCGGAGGTGGAGGGGAGGAGTAGCTGCGTGCGAGGAGCCAATTCTGGAATTATTCCTAGTAGTAGTACCAGTACCGTAGTAGTAGTAATACAGTAGTAGTAGTAGTAGTGTTGATCATTGCACTGACAGCCAGATGTTCAGACAGAGTTTGACATTATTATTGTTGGTAGTAGTAGTAGTAGTACCATAGTAGTAGACCATAGTAGTAGTTGTGTTGATCATTGCCCAGTCAGCCAGATGTCCAGATGGAGTTTGGCATTATTATTATTGTTATTGTAAGTAGTAGTAGTAGTAGTTCCGTAGTAGGAATACCGTAGTAGTAGTACCATAGTAGTAATGTTGATCATTGCAGTCAGCCAGATGTTCAGATGGAGTTTGGCATTATTATTAGTAGTGCCATAGTAGTAGTGTATTGATCATTGCACAGTTATTTAACATTAACTGCAATAATTAACTGTGCAATTATGTGCCATTATGTGCTGTTATTATTATTGTATTATTATCTCTTTTATTCATTAAACATGAAACTCAGTCAACTTAACATTTAAAAATGT